GCACCAATGAACCAAAATATTTTATTATTAAATTAAAAATAAAATTAATTTTGGAGACAGATATTTATATATTAGATTCAGAAAAAATTTCTGAATTGAATGCACTACAACAATAATCAACCCTCTGTTATGACCAAGCCAGAAATAGCATGATTTCTACATATTGTATTTAGAGCCAATCTCTTTGAGAAAAAGAGCCTGCGGATCATTTTGGAAGCCTTGTAATTGAGTTAAACTCAATGTTAATAATAACTCACATAGATACAGTGGTTGAAGAAGATTGTGTTGAAATACACACCAATATTCGGGATTAGGATTTCTCAAGCAGGAAAACTTTGCTTCCATTAATTAACCAGTACAGGAAATCAGCAAGTAGGGTTAGTTAAATTGGGTGGTGAAAGCAATTTCCCATAGCTCTTAAAACAGCAGTAGGGACTATGGAGCGTACCTGATTCAATTAACTGGCTTCCAATCTTACACTGGTAGTTTAATATTTGGGGTCTGCAATATCAGATTATCAGCTACTTTCAAATGTTTGCCCATGTTTGATTAATGTCCTATCTTTAAAATCAAAACATGAATCAAATGCAAATGAAATATTTATGCTTGATCATACCAACCTTAAGCTGCATAGGGCTGAAATCCCACTGTGTAGCTTTGCTTAAACTGTCTGTGTTCACACCACGAGGAATGTAAATACTTTGAGTCATTTCACAAATATCCTTTTGGAAAAGAAGAATTGAAGAAAATGTTATTCTACCAGCACAGCAAAGAGGCCATTTTCTTAATCTATCTGTAGATCTATATCAAGCTACAAAACTGTACCAGCAGACTTTTAGTAGAAGAAGTGAAATGGCTAAAAAAGATAATTGCAGTTTCAAACAGAAATATGATGACCACACCAATGTATTGCAAAATTGAGCTAAGCCAGCACAAATGTTTAAACTCTTGTCAGTTTGAAAAAAGTTTTATAAACTAAAAAATCATAACAAAATTAATTGTTGTAAGAATAAGAACCATAAACTATGCTTCACCTTCAGTGGCCGCTGGATCCCGTCAAAAATGCTACCCATTATACCTGAAAAAGAAAATAAAACATTTATCCTTTGAAAGTCAGCATTAGCTTGAGAGCTACTCTCCATACATTTGGAATACTTATACAAAAATTAAAACATCAACCGAGTAAAATGAAAATACTTTCTTCTCGTGAACAATATTGCTTTTGAATAAAGGGTTCTGCCAAAAAGTCTTGGAAAAAATCTATGAGAAAGAAACTTTTACAAATTTTACAAATAGAGATAGTTGTAAAGTCTGTGCAAGATCAATGATCTTTTGAAAGACTCTTGTTCTGTTTTTATTGCAGATGAGATTTTTTAAGGGATTTTAAGAAAAAAATTACAATGAAATCTCCATGACTGTATGCCTTCATAAACGTATTCACGTGTCAGTCATTGAACCAGTTTTATCATGTTAAACTAGATAGTGTCATTATTTCAATCTATTGTGCAAAAAATTATCTCTAAAGATATTGTTACATAGTGGTTACAAGAAAATCAGTGCTATAGGTCAGACTTCATTATTTGCTTGGTATGCATGCAGAGAATGAAAGTTCTATAAACAACACAAAAGAACTTTAAAACTAAATCCACAATGTGCTGCTGAGGCTACATTCAAAGTTGGTATTAATTTGGAACTTAGCACGCTTCTCTTCAATTGACAAGAAAAAAGATGTACCTGGTCCTAATTCTACTGACAATGGCTTCCCAGTCCTTAATACAGGATCACCAACAGTGACTCCAGCTGATGATTGTCAAGGTTATCAACAATGTTAGACTGAATAAAATACAAAAAACTTTTACAGGTAGACAAAAAGCTCCAAAAAAAATTATAAAGCTGGGGAGGAAAACATTTCAAATCAAGTTAAAAAACAACAGTACTGCACTGATAGCTGCATTATACTTGGTACATAAGTCATACTCAAGAAATCACTTAATTGCATTTTCATATGCCATGATTATAGGGCATTATATTGTGGCATTAATATGCAGCATTATATTTAATGTGGGGGTATACCAAATTCACCTGCAGTTAAATATACATATACGAAAAATTACTACCTCCATAAGTTGCCTAATTATAGCATTAAGAGTAGAAACTTAGAACAAGTCCATACCATACGCCAAAAGCATATATTTCTATAAGGATAACTGAATTTATAAAGGGACAAAGGGAGCATAGGTTCCAAACCTTTGATAGGCCGGCGACCAAAATTCTCCACACCCCATTAGCCAATCAGAATTCAAGAATTCAAGAATATGACAACAACTGGCCTTGCAGCTAGCTTTAGGCCTATTTTGGACGTTTTTACCACCACCCACAAAAAAATTAACCTGTAAAATGTACTGAAAGATAACCTAAACTTTTTTTTAAAAGTTGAATCTTTGATAAACTTATGTAAAAAATTGCGGTTGTACTCAGTAAAAAAATTTCTGCGATCGTTAGTTAGGAAGGCTTGAAACTATCTTTTTCAATCCCTTATAATAATTAGGGAGGGGGAGCTTTCAATTCCTTATAATAATTAGGGGAGAGAGAACAGAAAAATTACAGTTAAACCTTAAAAGTTGTTTTATCACTTAATTAACAAATATGAACTTACCTTTACAAGAAAATGCTAAAATTTTTCTTGTCGGCATTGATGCTTGTGTTACCGACGGAAAAATTGCTAAATTTCACTGAGAGAAAATGCCTATGCTGACAAAGGGCAAGTTTACAACATTTAAAATAAATCAGATTTAATGCATCATTTTTAAAAGTTTTAAAAGGATACATGTTTCTTCATATACTTGAATTGTAGCCATATCTCCTTCAAGCCGAATAATTTCTCCCACAAGTTCACCATGACCAACTCTAACCTGCATGAAAAATTTGTTTCAAATTTAGAATAATAAACAGGTACAGGTGACAAATTTGTCCATGCCAAAATGTTAAACCAAACGGCAAGCACTGGAAAGGAAGACAACATGACACTTTGGCAACAACAAATTTTAATTACCTTGAACACAAAACACATAAATTGCCTGATGGCTACTCAACTTTGATGAACATAATTATCAAAGCATGACAAAAGTAACTGAAGCTGAGTTTATAATTCCATATAAACCAAGCCATTTATGATTTTATGGCAAATGTGTTATGTAACTCACACAACTCAATGGCAGATAAATTCTGCAAAGAAAGAATTCTGAATGGTGCATTAAACTTGGATAAGCAAAAAATCTATTTGCCATCAAATGCTTTGATAAACCAAACAACCTTTGATTTTTACATACAGGTTTTGTGCCTAAAGAGGGTGGTTATTTGGTAAATAAACACTTTATGCAATACTCTTAGATCCACTGTCTACATAAGCATAGAACAGACCTGGATTCTAAAAAACAATGACGTTTTAGCTGCAAGTAACATTTAATAATTGCCAATCAGTGTAGGGACTTTAATGTGAAATAAGCTGCAATGAATAAGATATGTAACTGCACAATAAAATCCTTTGTTTGCCAAAAGTCTTACAAATTTAGTAGCAGAACACTGCATGCATTTTGAATATCAACTGAAATTACTTTGCAAAATTTATCAAGCACTTACAAGCTCGTACATAGCAGCGCCACTCATCCTTTCAGCAATAACCACTAGAGCAATGAAATACATAATTTTTATTAGTTAACGAGAAAAGCTGATAAACTTAACTGCTAAATTATTGCCAAACCATTATCATTGAAATTGGCAAAAAGAACAGAATTTCACAAGTGATATGAAAATTAATTTGTTGCCCAATAGCATTTTTTGCCATGTTTCCGTGGCTTTGCAATGATTAAGTACTGTAATAAAAAATTGAACAAGACTATCACTACTGGGCAAAGTGCTGAAGTAGGGGGGGGGGGGTTCTATCACACCACCCTATGAAGCTCCTAATGTGAAACCTTGAACTGTTTTCTGAAAATTTATGTCAAACCCAAACTCAAACTCAAAAATTTTTTCCAGCATATTTGTTTAATTGTTTAATTACAATAATTAATGTAGGTGTGGGAAAAAAGATAGTTAAGGTAAACAACATAAATCTTTTACTAGTAAATTAGCAACATAAATTTTTTACTAGTAAATTAGCAACATAAATTTTTTACTAGTAAATTATTTTTACTAGTAAACCCATGTGTCAAGTCAGCTGTGGCTTTC